AAAATAAAAAAAGACGACAATTGTACCGCATTTTGATCCAGGACGTACTCAGCATGAAAACAAGCGCTCACTCTTCCTGCTCAACAAATGACGAGGGCGGAGCCTTATACCACGTGATACAGAAGCTGTGCTGTGTGATGCTAAAATTAGCAGGAAAAAACAACGGAGAGCACATCAGGGATGACGAGAAAGTGACAGGAGAAAATCCGTCCCGGTCAACCACCCAAACATCAATAACGGGAACCTTATACAGCGCTTCTCTATACACGTCGAACTCCCGCAGGCACAAAGACATTACGGAGGCTATTATCACCTGACCAAAGATATGGCTCCATCAACACTGTGCAAAACGAGGGATTTAGGAAAATGATCAACACCCTAGACAAACGCTACACAGTGCCGTCCCGCAACTATTTTTCTATTGTTGCACTACCTGCTCTATACACGCAGCGTCGAGCAACGGTGGAGACGGAATTTCAAGCAGTACAACATTTTGCAGCAACAACTAAACGTGAGACATTTGTTGTTTTTATGTTTATTGTTTTCATGTTCAGTCTCAACTGTTACGAAGTTGATGTGCACTTAATAAGTGCAATAAATATTTATACTGGAAAAGAAAATCGTGAGAGAATCGTGATCTCAATTCTAAGCCAAAAAATCGTGATTCTCATTTTATGCAAAATCGAACAGCCCTACTGTCCAGTAATGCGAATTCTTCTGAAGTACATCCTGTTGTGTACTATATGGGAGAAGGCCACTTTGGCATCAGCGTCCTCTACTACATGATATCTCATTGTCATTCACATTCTGAATCATTAAAGTCCATCTCCCATATATTTTTCAGGTCATACTGGTTATAAAACCGACTGCAAACAGCAATATTGGCAGTTGAATCCAGCTGCATTAAATGGTGAACCAGGACATAAGACTAAAATCATTCTTCATCAGTCATTCTTTGCCTGCCCACTAATTCATAGAAGAAAGAACAACTAAACTAAACTAAAAAAAATTCAGATTACTTCCAGTTATGCTCACGTATCATGATGTCACCACTCCTCAGAGTTCGAGCCGCTCATTGATATGCAGCACCATTACTAAGCCTCTAATAAAAAGTAGATCTGCATCAGATTGGAGAGCTCTTATGGTTGTGATGAGAAAGATTTTCTCCGTTTGCAGTCTGACTAAAGCTGCATTAAAAAAGAGCCATGAAGAAAGCTGCAGATACGTGTGTTAAGTTTAAAGTGGAAGAACTTTTGTAATGCTTTAGGCACACACACACACACACACACACACACACACACACACACACACACACACACACACACACACACACACACACA